AAAATGTGCTCATGCCCCCTGGGCATCCTATAATACTCCTTAAATCGAATTAATTCAACATGGCCGGCGTATCGGTAAAAAGGTCTATTGGAGTTTTTGGTAAAGAATTGCTGGTACCACAAATGTAGACAGCTTATATCCAGCCTTAACATTTTTTAAACGATTCCGGTCCAAGATCCTGAAAACCATGCCCTGCTCAGGGACACATACCAGTCAAGGCCAAATAAGGGAGTGCCCCCCCCACCCCCCACCCCTTCCGGGAAATACCTACAGAACAAAGAATTCTGTATGCAATACGTGTGTAATTTACCCACTCGAAAGAAAAAAAATAACAAGCATTAGCTGGAAAATTAAAATGAAACACTAAAAACCAAGAACATTTTTCTTTTTAATCAAAGACAATATATCAAAGTAAAAGAAAACAAGACAAGAATCAAATTAGTGAATTTTATAAGTGATACTCCTCAAACACGGTAGACATTACCCTGAATTTCATCCGATTACTTCGAGTCGTTATTACTCCCTCAGCAACGTACGTTGTTGGGAGGAGAAAACGACTCGAAGCAATCGGATGAATTTCAGGCCAGGTAGACATCAAATCGGCATGATATTTATTTAAAAGATATTTTATATTTGGTTTATTTATTTTTTCTTGACTTCAATAGCGGCTCTTTCAGCTGTATTTCAGACAAAAAGGCCAGTAAGTATTCACATAAAGGCAACGGACTACTTTCTTAAAATCTTCAGAAGTCGTTAAGTAGCGTGAATTCGTCAATCTGACCCAATCTCCGTTTTCCAGTTATAGATAAAACTTATTTATTGATTCATTGATGACATTTTTTTGCCTAGTTTTTGTTTTTGTAATTTTTTGCCTAGTTTTAAGGGTGTTCCGGGGGCGTTCGGCCCGTCAGGGGGTGTTCCGGAGTATTCCGGGAGTGTCCCGGTGTGTTCCGGGTTTAACACACACTCTGCGAAGAGTAGTTACTTAGGGCCTGTTTACATGGAGTGGGGGACCCCGGTCTAGTGGGGTTGGTTTCTTTTGTTTTCACGCTCTAGGGGACACAAAACAAAAGAAACCTACCCCACTAGACCGAGGTCCCCCACTCCATATAAACAGGGTCTTAATGCTCATTTTAAAATTTTAAAGTTGACGCTGTTATACCGCACGTGGCAGAGCGCGTCTACGAGTGAGCGTGACTTAATTAAACGGGTTTTTTTTAACGGTGTATAGTTTTGTACCCTGAAGAAGGCAGCATTGTCGAAACGTCGGTTAAAAATCTTGTAATAGCGTCTGTTTTACAATTTACAAAAGAACATTGGTGATCGTGTATTTGAAAATGGCTGCCAATGGCTGCTCTCCGTGCGTACTAGATAGAATTGGAGCTTGGAAGTCTTTGGTTTCGGAAGAGAGGCCTCTAGCTTTTAAAGTTAATCGTCCAAAAATACAAGTCATTGAAGAAACAACGTAAAATCAACAGCTCAATGCGTTTATTTCTGTCCAAAAAACTATATTTTATATGTACATGCTTATTAAAGAATATTTTGTTTTGACAATATATGACAGCCAAAAAGACGAAAAAACATTTTGGCCAACGAGTATATTACTTACAGTATCTGAATTGCATGTTACACTCTTCATATCATTTAAGGTCCGTTTCCTACGTTTTGAAACCTACGATCATGCCCTTCCTATATATCTAATACGTCTTTAAAAATCTCTCTTCTCAAAAAGAAAAAAACGCCTGATCGCAGGTTAAAAGAAACCTATCCTGGGTCTTTAGATGGAAAAGTGTTGACATCACACATCATGCACGTGCGCTATACTAACTACTGCATAAAGATTGCAAAAACTGCAGAAAAAAAAGGCCAAGAAAACGCCACGAAGTTGCTTGAAAACCGCCCGAAATATTGCCTGTGTAAACTGGCCTGTACTATCTTGGTTTGAACAACAATAGTTTTTTGAAAGAGTTTCTAGAACTATCCAGAGGTGTTTTTGCTTATGAGCCGTTCAAGCTCTAATATCAGCTATCACACTCTCTACACTATCCTTCATACAATACCTATGGTAATGTTGAGGAGAAATTTCTTAACGATCAAGATGTGTAATCTTAGCTAATGACTTCCGTTACTCTCACTACCTTAGTGTTTGCTCTAGCAGTAGAAATGTTAGGAGAAATTTGATGTACGTCAATATTAAGGCTTGACGGGTTATAGGTCCGGGGGCCCGTTTCTCGAAAGTCCCGTTACTTTACCGGCCGAAGTCATATTCTAACATCAAAATAATATATTAAAGAATAGTAGCGTCGGTTTTAATCCCCTAACTAGGCAATTATATTTCGCAAACTGGTAGCTTTATTGCATAACTTTTAAAACTATTTAAAATACCTCAATCTTGAATGCAAATACGCCAGCTTTTGGGGCCCGTACATTACTGGGAGATTCGAGAAACGGGCCAACGGGAAATTGAATTCCTTGTCGACTGAGTCCATTTCATACACTGTGGGAGTTCCACCAGCCTACACATAAGAGGAAATCCAACTGAGAAGTTATTTCATATTTTTGTACTTTTGGAACAACGAGTAAAGTATTCTGAGTGTTGACTTGAGGTCCTTCTGAACCACATCTGCAAAAAAAAACAAACAAACAAACAAATAAGCTCAGTCGTTAACAAGAAAGTTCAAACCAGTCGATCCTCGGCTAGGGCAAACGGTACGCAAAATTCAAGACTGGTAAAATTTGCCTCGGAATCGCGTTGACCGTTTGTACATACCAGTCGAACCATTTACTGAAACTGCCTGGAACTGGTATCAACGATGGCTTTGAAGAAATGGAACACAAACTTCCGTTTGGAATGGAGCGATTTTAGTATGACCTTAAAAAATGGTTTCGGTAAGTGTTCGTTATTTGTTTTATCAGCCAATGGATGAAAAGATCAAAACATGGACTCTTCGTTTTCCCGCCAAAGAAAACCCTAATATGGAGAAGGCATTGTTCGATTGGCCAATTGTGTTGCAGTATGACGTCAAAGCGAAGTATCGATTGATTTCTAGAAAGTTCTCAGTCATGAAGTTTTTTCACCTGAGCGTTCGCTTAACCAACCAAAAGCCACGCGCGTTTGTATCCGTTCGATAAACCAATCAAATCGCTCTATTTCCGTTCGTTTGTTGTTTCTGTTTTGTTCGCGCGTTTTCATTTCAAGGTCATACGAAAATCGCTCTATTTCCCCCAGGAAAACACGACTACCTTTGCAAATGTTCCGTTGCTCCTGAAAATTTTCCGCTGGAAAGACCCAAAGAGTCATGTTCCATGCACTTTCCAGCCGGATTTTTCGGAAACTTTTAGTCAACAGTAAACAACCCCTGTGATTTATTTACTTCAGTGTTGTTCAGATGGCGGCCAATATTCAAAGTGACTGTGATTCAGATTGGTATTGTTTGGATTGACTGTCCTTGAGACTGTCCTCTTTCTTTCACCGTTCAACACAGATTTTTTCCTGTTGCAACTTCTGTTCCGCTCCCACACGATGTTAAAAGGGACTGAATACTTGGAGGGAATAAGTGGGGGGGGACACTGTTTGGGGGTCACCCTCCCCGCTTAATCTCGTAATAATTACAGTGGTTTAGCACACGTTAAACCGAGGTTTTTTAGACCCGGGGGGTACTCAACAAAGATTTATGCGGGAAGGCTCCGCCCCGAGGTTCAACCCCGTACCCTTTTATATACCATTTTCAAGTTTCCCCCCTCCGCGCCGAAGAACCGACCAAGATTATGAGCCGAGAATTATCTTCTCTTAGAGATATAGCTTTTCACCTTTAAATTTCCTTTTCATTTACTTTTTACCTTCAGGTTTGGCATGAAACTTCATTCCACTGTCTCTCATGAGGTCAATAGCTAAAGCAACATTATGGAGCTGTTTTGAAAAATGAAAACACCAGTAATGAGCGAGTTCAAACAACAGGGATGTTGTAAAGGCTTCGTATCTTTAGGCAGATGGCGACCGCAACGAGAATGTCAAAAAAGCAGTAAGTTTATATTAGCAAAAGAAGAACTTTGCACGTGCAGCATACTTTTTGGTACATTTTTTTTTCTTTTTCGACTATTGCCTCGTTTCACGTTTTATCGAGAAGGTAATATGGAGCTTAAGCAAAGACGACGGCGACAGCAGCGAGAACGGCAAAAAAGCATAGGTTTCATAAGCAAAACAACAACTTTGCACATGCATCAAGCTTTTTGTATATGCCACTGCCGTCACTGCACGACTACGAAGTGAAAGCGCCTAATTTCACGTTTTGTGGAGGACGGGCACACACGACAACCACGTTCTTTTTCTTTTCCTGTACTTTGAAACAATCCTTTAGAATTCAACTCCAGAATAATTTGCCAACATTTGACGAACTGCACTAGATGGAGTAAACGCGATCGCTACTTCTATTAAACTATTAACTGCAGCATACCTTTTGATCTTTGTTTGCTGGTGTGATGTAATACTGGTACAGTGGTACCAAGAAACCCCAGCAAAAAGATAAGGTAAACACCATCATGGAACTAAGGCAACAAAAAAATGAACAATTTTAATTTATCAATAATCTATTTAAAGGGCAGCAGTTCCTTTTATTACTAAAGTATGTATATCCTAAAGTTCCAAAAGTGAAAACCCCCAAAGTCTATGTAGTGAGCCCCCACAATGTCATGATAAATTTTCATGATTGCTCTAAAGTAGCCCCCCCCCCCCCCCCTCCCCCATATCCCATGGATCCACTACCCCACTTCTTCAAAAAATAATCCTATACGAACATAACTGTTACAGACTTTCTTTCTCTACATCTTTCAATATTGGTACACTGTATACACTGTAAGTAACAGGAAAATTTTTTTTAAAGATACACTGTGTTACAGGGTGTTACATAGTGTTAAGACCTTTTATTTTCATGATTTATATGTAGTTCTGATCATTCTCACCACCTTTATGTTGATTGTATGAACAATTTAAAATACCATAAGGATGATTTAGAAGTTGCTTAAAAATGGTGATGTTAAATGGTGTGTCTTGTCTAGTTCCAGGAATATCTCTAAGATTTCAAGTTGCTGGCTGAACAAAACACGTAGGCAGGAACAAACAGCTAAGGATTTTTATTGGAACTATTTTCCTACAAAAGAAGCCAGAGGTCATATTCATTCTGGTAGCTGGGGCAAAATTCCCATTTCATAATAACCCTGTACTTCATTAATACCTGTGAGTCAATATTGTCAACCTCTAGGCTTAACTTGCTTAGATGCTTGTTAACAAAACTCTGCAGAGACTGCAAATCAATCAATCAATCAATCAGCTGTCGGTAATTACCATAATATTATACTTTTTTGGAATGTCTTACAATTTTCTCACAGAATTGGCCACAGCTTGCACAACAGTGTCGTTTTACTGTTACTAATACCAGACTCTATTTCATTTTCCTTTCATATTTATAATTGAAAATCCCAGTGAGGTTTAAAACAATAAAAGCCCTAATTTGCACAAGAAAGCAAAACACTGAGGCATTGTGGTTCATAAAATGACGTCATATTGTAAAACAGCCTATTGCAAAACACTTCATCTGTCTTGGATCTCTTTAAATAATTAACAGTTTTCAGATCAGATAGATGGGCTTTGACTGAGGCAAATCTGTGGCAATTACTTGATGTACCTTATTGTAAAGTACTTTAGGGGCTGCCATAATTTCACAAAAATTAAATTGCATATACCTTTTTAACCACATTTAGCTTCTCTGGTGCATTATCAAACAGTGCATCAAAAGCATCTCTTTCTAGAAATGAAAAGAAAAAAACTGAGCCGATATATAAATGACTGACTAGACAAAAAGTTAAAGGAAAACAGCCACAACCATGAAAAAAGTTTAGAAAGAATTGCAACGACATACCAGGCTTTCCTTCATCACTGAAAACGAAAAATGAGAGTTAAATTCTGTGATTTAAGGGTCATAAAAATGGTCACTGTCATTCATTAAAATTAGGGTAAAATTTCAACAAGCAACATGGCCTTGAGACAGCGACATAAGAAAGAAGAAATTTTGACAAATGACAAAAAGATGTGTTAAAACTGCAACAGCGCTAAAAAATATGCACATACAATATACAAAAATTAATATCAACAGGGACACGGCTTCCTTTGCAAGATATGAAACAAATGGTTTTGAAATTCAGACTAAGGTTACATACGTTATACCCCTTAAGTATAAAAGGGCCTCAAAAAAACCTAGCAAGACTTTACACTTTAACACAAGACATCAACAGTTGTATCTGACATTCTAAGCAATAATGGCTCTTGACGCTCACGCTACTTACTCTTCTCCTTCAGTCACTTCGGTTATCTCCTGAACAACCTTCTGAGGAAGTAGAATGCCTCCTTTCTTCTGCACAATGACTGTGTTTATTGTAACTCCACTGGGCAGTTTCTGTGAACACTCAAAATGACGTGCCAAGGCAACCAGCAGATGCAGAATGGCTACAATGTCCTTGTCATGTATTCCTGGAGAAAAAATCCCATCACAATATAAAGTCAAAATGAGTTTTACGGACATCCGCTTAGAAAGACAGACACCTCATCATTACATCAGTTTTCTTTGTCCCTGAGGAAAGCCCTTGCATTTTATGTAAAGTCAATCTGCTTAACAGGAAAACTTTCTATGGCCCCCTCAGTGTCCAGTGTTTTGTGCTTCTCACTATCATAAGGTTCAAGTTTTCATTCAACCTTTAAATACAAATCCTCATTTTGGCAAACAAATGCAAAATTTCGGTCGGTTTGTCAGTACCGACAAATTCACTGACAACTTTTAACTTGATTAAGCTAGGGTTCAACTGACATGAACTGACAAACTGACAACTGACAAATTTTGCTGGTTTGTCAGGACCGACAAATTCACTGACAAATTTTGACTTAATTATGCGACAGTTCAACTGACATGAATCGACAACTGACAAATTTTGTCGGTTTGTCAGTCCCGACAAATTCACTGACAAATTTTGACTTAATTAAGCGAGTAAAAATGACATGAACCGACAAGTGACAAATTTTAACGGATGTACATGCATGATGTTGCAGGCACGATATGAGTTTAATAATCTCATTTTTATACAGTATCATGTCCATGCCTTTCACATAATTTTTGGGACCAAAAGCAATGTGAAACCACCATGATAAGGCCTAGGACCACAATCGACAAAACTCAACAATATATTATACATTTTAAGTGTAAATCTCTGATCACCTTTATAGCCTTATAGTCTAATCGTAGATCTAACAATCTCATTTTGTGTTTCTTTTTAAATGAATGTGCATGCCTAAATTTCAATTGAAACCATTCAATTACAGCGTAGAATGGCAAGTATATGACATTCCTGTTGTCACATCAAGTATCACTATAGAGCCTCTGTATGGGCACCTGCCGACATCTATTTTGTTGCTCGTTGTTTTTCATCCATCAGTTTTTCAGGCGAAATAGTGGCCTTTACTGGAATTAATTATTTTGCATTGTAACGCTATGGCTAATAGCGAGGTCAGAGCACCACATCGATGAAGAAAAGTGGAAAATATTAAACCAAAACAAAAATTTTTGAAAGTGCATATATCATGCCAGACTAACATTTTCAAACTTAATTGAAAAGGTAGCAATCGTCGCTTTAATCTCTAAGATGGTTGCCTTACCAATCTTTGACATATCGTCACCACTTCGGTTTCTTTGTCGGAAATACCCATTCAGAGGCATATTTAATAACGTAACAGTAAAGTAAATAAATGCAACTTGGTTGAAATATCATAAACCTCCTGAGTAAATTTTAAAACTAAACCCTTATAAATATTTACCGTCTAATACAGTAAAAAAAATCAGTGGTTGCGCTTTTCCAAATAGCACTATGTTTTAATACAATTCATCTTAAGAGCATGGAAAATGTAAAAATGAGCATGCTTATAAGGAGAATTTGTTGTTCAGCATTCACAAAAATTCAGATACGGCAAGAAAAAGGTTCATACATTGTACCAATCTGATTTGTTTGTATACGCTGGCAGAGTAAGACCTCGTATACACCTTGCAATATGTTACAAATGTGATATCTTTGTAAACGTCTCAAATAATAGTGGTAGCCTGTTTCAGACGTTCCGACTGCCGAGTGGGAGAGCAAGATTGAGAAACTTTTTTAATCACCCATTGTTTTGTCTTCTTTTCCTCTACCTCCAGAATCTGAACATTGGGGACTTTCAATAAGGACAACAAGTTCCTTTTTTGAAAAGGGCCCTAGATACTCCGCTTTCGGTGTATTCTATAACATGACCCGCTATAAGTGAAGCAACAGAGGATCAGACTGTCTGTTCTATGTGTTTTTGTAGAAAACTTGAAGCATGTTTTTGTCTTGGCAGACTGCATGTTTAACTGCCAGTTCGAAAGAAGAAGCAGAGTAATGTAAGTTTTTACACACGGGGGATACTCCCTTATATAATTGCCTGATAGGTATGTGCCACCCAAAAGGTATCGTTTTCGCGTTGTTTCGGTCTGACAACGGGTATGCACTTTGACTCTCACGAGTGCTTTTCAAGGGAATATGGAGATGCATGAACGTAGTTGTCATTTACATTGCAAATGAATGAAAAAGAAAGAGTAATATGCGATTAGAAATAATGAGCTGAAAAAAGGGAAATCTTTCAGTTAGCGTTCTTATCTAAGGGCCTGTTTACATGACTGTAAGTGGGGGGAACTCAGCTACGTGATGTAACCTGCCTGTCCAAATATTATCTCATTTTAATTTGATCATGCGTACATGATAAGTGGGGTGACCCGCCACATGTTACCTCACCTATCTGGGGTCCCCCACCTACATGTAAACAGGCCCTATTAAAGTGATGGTAACATAATTTCTGCCTACCCCAGGTCTGACGACGTGTATGTATTTTGGAGGCCAGGTCTCAGAAAAGGGGATAGAAAATAATTAAAACTTGTTGGTTTGAAATAGGGTCAGGATGTGGCGAACCGGGTGGCACACCCCCACCGCGAATTTCCAGGCATCCCCCTCGGCATGGTTTCCTCAAAAAACTCATATTTTTTTCTAGTATAAAACAACGTTAAAAGTAGTAGACCTTAGTAGCAGACTTGGTGAAACTGACCTTACTACCAGCAGTTCCATTACTCACTTCTGCTTTCCCCTCCCATAAAAAGGTGCTTACATGCCCTCTCGAGTACATCGTATTTCTATGCATTCAATGGTATTTCACTACAGGGTTTACCCTCGTAAACAATATGTATGTTTATCCATATGATGTATGATTTTGAGGTGACGCTGCACTGATGGAACGAAGAGCCTAGTATACATTGAATACATCTCATTGAAAAAGCGAACTGATTATAACTGGACATTTATACAACACTAGCCTTAGAGATAATCAAAAATAAATGACCGGAAGGGGGAAGCTGAATTCGTCTTTATATCAACCTTATTCTTAAAGTAATGATTGTCAATGAAAACTAACCACAGTAGAACTAAAGCTTATTCATGGCAGACAAGTGCTCCAAAAAATATATTAATATTGTAAGTTAACAACAAACTGTACTATGAAATTAAAAATTGGACTAGCACAAAATATTTTGTACCAGTTTAATATATTCTGTACTGGTACAAAAACAAATTGTACCAAAGTGCAAATTGAACTACAACATATACAGATGAGATTATTAAACTCGTATCGTGCCTGCAACATCATGCGTGTATTTCTGTTTTGCCTTTACTGGCTCTTTGCCTTTGGTCGTTTTCCTTCCATATGAAAGTATGCATATTTTCACTACCCATACCCACTTTAATAGCTTTCACTTTAACCTAATAAGTTGCTAAGTATCAACGTCATCAAATATATATCTTTCCATTGATGCCTCGTTCTCAGGGTAGTCTGAGCAATCCTAACTAGAGTTACACTCTCTAAGAAAATTAAGAAAAGTAACATTTGGGAAGAAAATCCACTGTCAATTTAGCTGTTTACCTGCACTTATCTCTGAAGATTAGAATTGCCCCTTTACTAAAAATTAGCCAGCCTCAATTCAAAAGACAGAAGATAAAGTGGGCAATAAAACATTTTAAATAAAGAAGGAAGGCAAAGGAAAAAATACAGAGAGTGAGACTGAGAAAGATCGAAATAGATCCTAAAAAAAGTTGCAATTTTGGTTTGTGCCATGTTTATAATAACTTTTCTGTTTAATTACATCCCTTAACTTTAGTCAGAAATATGCCCTCTGTGTTGCATACCTCATTGTTAGCCATTCTTGTGATAGTCAAAAATCAGTTTGACAAGAAAGGAAATGGTGAAACATCTTTTTTTCATTTCTCGCTGGCTGTCACCAAAGCATAAACTGATACATATGGGCTTAATTGTTAAGAATGTTTTCAAGACTTGAGATGCAGCCATATCACATCTCTTCTTCAATTCAGAAACTAAAAGTTGTTCGTTTTCGGTTTCTCGGTTCATATCAGTTGAACTCTGGCTTAATTAAGTCAAAATTTGTCAGTGAATTTGTCGGTTCTGAGAAACTGACAAAATTTGCCAGTTGTCGGTTTGTTGGTTCATAGCCTGGCCGGGAACCCTAGCTTAATCAAGTTAAAAGTTGTCCGTGAATTTGTCGGTACTGACAAACCGACAGAAATTTTGCATTTGTTTGTCGAAATGAGGATTTGGAAAGGTTGAATAAAAACTTGATCCTTATGATAGTGAGAAGCACAAAACAGGCTAAAGGTGACGTCAATTGGTGATCTGCAACACCAAGAAACCACTGAAAAACTGGACAAAACTTTCACTATCATATAATTATTTTACTTGGGCTCGATTTCGGTCACTCTCTCCGTTCTCCCCGAGAAGAGACTGCTCGAGAGAGGAGCGAGGGCTTATTTCCCGATCAGCAGCTGATAATCGAGCCTAATATTCTATTTTATTTTTTCAATTTTAAAGAAAAACTACACACCATAAGCAACAAAGAACAAATTTCTGATTTTGGTTATGTTGATTCAATTTTGCGCTTAATTTCTATAACGTAGACTTTAAAAAATTTTAAAGTTAACTTGTTTTCAAACTTTGATAAATGATGTTCAAAGAGAATAGGGACCTTAAGATTTGAGGACGTCCTCCGTGTAGAACGCGACCGGAAGTTAAGATGAGCCTCTTGCGAGTATTGCGCATGACCATTCTTGGCTGGGACCGCGTTCAATCTCTGAACAGAACGCCATGTTTTGATTTTGGCGTCGTGAGTGGAACGTGAGTAGACTTTACCTGAAATTTTCATAAAATTGCACTTTCATTTGCCGATTTTTGTCACTTTTGTAATTCAGAACATATCTTCTTACTTTTGGTACGCCTCTCTTTTTTCCACAGGTGCAAAGAAGTGAGAAAACGCTAACAAATCACTCTGTTCAATGGCCTCGTGCGTATCCGGGATGTCAGAGTAAGGATTTTCCTTCACATGTTTTTCATATTTTTTCACACTTGTTTGAGGGTAGTGATAACGTACTTGACAGAATCGACAACTGTGTGTATTTTAATGTTTTCAGGGACTGAAGGCGAATTTTGTTTAATTCAGGGGGAAATTCATTTATGTTCGATTCTCAAACACGACCTAAACAGTTCAAAAACGTGAAGTTTGAGTGACATCGAAAAAATAAAAGGTTTACGAGCATCAAGCAACTTTTATGTCACCGAAACTTTATGAAAGCTTTTGCATGGCTTCCCGAAAGTTTTTATCTTACTGTTTTTCAACCGTGTCAGCATAACTTACAGTCTTCAATTGCCAATTTGCCTTCAGTTCCATTCTAACCATTCTGCTTGTTGTTATCATTCATTTGTAATTCACCTGCCCTCCACTGACTATGGATTATCCTTAAGTTTAACTGGCTGTATTTTATTATACTCAGAATAATTTGTTCAAAACTTTGTTTACTTTTAAAATTGACCACCATGCTGTCTGAGAAAAAATTGATTTCTTTCATGCTTCATAGACAGTCTTTATAGTTTTGATCAGAAAAGAGAAATAAACTTGGATCAATTGATGTGAAAAAAAATTATGGAAATGTAGAGAAATTTACACATCAACCAACCCTGAGACTCTCTTTAAAAAGTGACGGTTGGTATTGAACAAGCTGGTTTTCAGTGGCAGTGAATACATGTTGTAGGTAAAAATGAATCCAGGTTAAAATGATTTCAACCTAGGTTGATTTGTATTTTTCTTTGTTAAGGTGGGTAATTTACATCTAAAACAAAGGAAAATACAAATCAACCTAGGTTGAAATCATTTTAACCTGGGGTTCATTTTAACCTACAACATACACACCTTTTTTTTTTTTGCACAGTCTCAACTTTCCAGGAGTGCAAGTGTGGACTAAAGATCATGATCTACTTTTATGTAGAGAAGTTTTATCAGTCAATCCATACTCGGCCAAAAAAAATTCAAATGAACGAGGAAGGCTGTGGGACAGAATCAGTGCCAACTTGAACAGCACATCAGATGTCTACTTTTCTGTCACAAAACGATCAGTGCGTGACCACATTGCAGTTTTGATAAAAAAATACAAAAAGAAAATGAAAGATGAAGAAAAAGCCAGTGGAATAAACCCTGAACCCACAGAGCTTGAACAAGCACTAGCAGAGATAATTGAGATGGAAGAAGCTGCAGAAACTGAACATCAAGATGGTGATGGGAGAAGGAAAGAAAAAGATGAGGCTGACAAGCATAAGGCAGAAAGTATGAGAAAACTGGCTATGGAAAAGTTGGGAGAAACTCAGAAGAGGGCAGTTGAAGAGGGAGAGCAGGATTGTCAGAAGAAGAAGAGGAGAAGTGGGAATGATACAATTGAGTATCTGCGAGAGAAAAGTGAGAGTGACAAAGTACTCAAAGAGGAAGAGCTGTCACTCAAGCGTAAACAACAGGAACTGGAAGAAAAAAAGCTAACCTCATTTCTAGATCAGCAGAAATCCATGATGCAGTTAATGCAGGAGCAACAGCAGCAGCAACAGGTTCAAACTAATAACATCCAAATGATGATGATGCAACAGTCCCAGGCTTTCATGGCCGTGCTTGATAAACTTACCAACAAAATGGGCTAGAACTAGTGAACAACAAGTCTTTTCTGCCCACTAAGTTGTGTTTTAATTGGTTGTGTTTACCAGACAGGCTCTGAATATTAACAGATAAGACCTTGGCTTTCTGAAACTTTATTTCAACCTGTGTACTTGGTATTAGTCTCACCCTTTTTCAATGTTAAGGATTATTACATTTTAACTGTATAACTGGCTTGTATGTTTCAAGTACTTGTTGGATCTTTAATATTTCAATTTCATACATTTCACATATCAAAGTGAAATATTTTTTTAGTCTAAATAGACTGTCCAGTTGGAGCTGTTATAGACAAACAACAGAAAAAATGCTTTGTTGCTGTTAAGCTGTTGTTGTTGTTGTTATTGTGATAGGAAAAAAATAGGGCATTAAGCAAAGTATTCTTGTAAAGTGGGGGGATCCAAATTGAAAAACTCGGAAGTGGAATTTCCATATAGGCATGTCAGGGCATTCCTGAGTAGCACACAAACTATGTACATTTTTCCTATTTGACTCAGGCCTATCTTTAAGTTTTTCTTGAAGTCAAGAAAACAGAAAGAATTCACCACATCCCCAAACAACCATTCCACTGAGGTTCGCACTGTGCTCATTGCGGCATTAAAGTTTTGCATCTGGGGGTCAAGATTCCATTTCTAAATGGTGCTTGAATGTGTATTCGTAATGGATAAGCAGGATCCCCATAAATGCATAGTGGCTGGCCTGTTGGTGAGAATGCATAGCGTTGAAGATCATTGTAGAGGCCAGAGTCCCGCAGCATCCCTGCATCATGCTTTTTGCCCTCTGAAAAATACGAACAAAGAAACCCCAAAAACATTCATACTACATTCATGATGTGCAATGAACCTCTTGTCAAATTTGAAAAAAAAATTATTACAGGATTTTCTAATGGTAAAGAGAGTGTTACATACATAATGGAATGTAAGTTTCAGCTTGGGAGAGAGGCTATCTGATTTTTAGATTTTTAAATTTTGGATGTAGCACTCCACCCTTTAGTAAGGCAAATACTCCACATTAATTGTGTTTGCTTTATTGGATCTTGGTTAAGTTTTAAACTAAACATCCAAAATTATCTTAAACATCCAAAATCTATTTATCCAAAGAGGTTTATTTATTTAAAGGTCAAAGCCAGTGACTTGTATGGTTTGGGTTCAGTGTATATATTCAGATATAATTAAAAATATTTAGATTAAAAGTAACAAAAAGAAAACATATAACGAAATGAACAAACACAGACAGTTTTCTATATATCATGCAAACAAACAGAATATCAAATGGGGGCATGCGATTAGTGATTATGCAAGGATGTTCACTTGATGGTGGATCAAATGCTACAGCAGTTTAAAGAGCAACAGTGGAAGAGAAGACAACAGATCATTAGTCCAGTTGGTGTGTAAAAAGGTGATTCGATTTTTCAGGAGGTATCACTCATTAGCTCCTGAATTTTTTTTTAATCCATTTTTTTCCCAAGGTTTTCAGCTGAGGACTATCCTCTCAAGCAGTCTCAAGGTAAGAAAGAAACTTGCAAGTGAAAGCTATACTTAAAAAGAAAACTTACCTACAGGACCGTAAAGATTAGCAACTAATCCATTTGGCGTGACAACTGATTGAAATTTTAGGGCATGAACCCTTTTATGGCCATTGTATACCAGTCTTTGATTGAGGTCTGGTCGACAAATTGGCCGAACTGTTCCATCTACGAAGCCGAAACAGTTGTCCAGCGCTGCTCCTCTGTTCGAGACAGCGTCAGCATAGATCTGCAATGAATGGGCGTTCAGAACTGTGTGATTCCAACCAGTGATCCGGTGACTGTGGTGCTCAAAGATAAAATCAACAACTTGATTGCTTATCATTGAGATTTCAGGAACCGGTCTACCGAAAGTGCTCATCAAATCGCTGTATCGACATGGGTATGCAAGTCGCTTTAGCAACATACATAACGCTTCGGTGCCTCTGCAAACTGTCCCCTGTTTGCATGTGATCTTTTCTGGCAATCCAAGGACATTCAGCAGAAGAGGAATATCATTCTTTTGGAAGCGGAATTCTGTCTTGCATTCAGCCTCGTCTTTGTCTTGTAGGCAGAATTTCTTGTAATCCCAGTACGGATATTCTGGATTTTTCGAAGTGTTTAGGTCGTAAAGCAACAGAAATTCGTCTTCAGTGATCGAACCCTCGCAAAAGGTCAACAGAAGCAGGTCTCGCGCGTTCCTAAAAGTCGTCATGATATATAAAACAGCTTAATTCTCAGATGAATAGAAGTTTCACGTCTCGTTGTTTACGCGGAACTTCTTAAGTCAAAGTTCCCGCGTCTAGAACGTCGCGCTCTCCCCAGGCCCCTGTATGCCACGACGTTGGATTTTAAGACGCCGTCCTCAAATCTTAAGGTCCCTAATAAAGCAACTTACACATGGGACGCAGCTCTTCCGCGTTGCGGCCATCTTGTCGCTCACCCTCGCTGCTGATCTACAACAAAGGCTCTTCAATTTAATACCTTCTAAACACTAAATCATACAAAAAACACCATCGAGGTTACCAGAGGTTTTCGAAGACGTTTTCCTTCTCTCAAAACAACTGGCTGCGTTATTTCAGGACCTGTAATTCTCTTGTTATCAACGGGCATCGTAAACGGAGCACGAGCGACAGGATTTTGCCAGGCGTTCCAAATCGGACGAAGGAAACTGGAACTATTTCGGTTTTGCCGTTTATCGGGGTGGAGATGGGGACATTTTTGTCGCTGGCAGAGGAACTATGGCAGGAGCCCAAAGATAGTTGGAATTTGATTTTTATGACAGAATAATTTAGAACAAAGGAACTATGTTCTAAATTCCTCTTTTTCAAAACATCTCGAAACCTTAACTCGCCAAACCACTTCGAAATGCCTTTAATCCTTTAAAAGCGAACTGACTGTAAAACACACAACACAAACAATGTCGAAACTATGAGTCATTTTTACTTCGAATCTTTCGAATCTTTCGAAGCGGAATTTAGAACGTACTTTCTTTGTTCTCACAAATTCTCTGAAAAAATGAAAATTTCAAAGAACTAACTAAGAGGCTTGGTTGCCAGTGTTTATTGAAGCTCTTGAGCTAGACCGTGACAGGCGCAAAAAGGGGAGGGGAGGATTGAGCGGAGGAGGGGAGGGAGAAACGTCCTCTCTCCCTAATCTCCCTCCTTTTTCCCCTTCTTCCCTATCCTCTACCCCTTTTGACGCCTGTTGTGCAGGCTAGTGGTTGACTGTTGTTGCTGTTGTTTCTTTTCTTTTCTTTTTCTTTTTAAAGTTATCGTACTTCTCAGCAGCTTTTCTAAGCTACAGCTCCGTTGAAGGGAATGAGATAGCCTGTGCGGCGTGCCTCCCTCGTGCGCCTTTTTCTCTCTTTGCCGATCTTTGCCCCCCAATTGTTGGATAATAAATAAGTGCTTGCCGATTGGTACTCACTGATGCAAAAGATAAACGGCGCTCCCTTTTTCTAATTGTAAAGTTTTCGAACCAGTCAAACAACACAGTCTATGCAAATGCAAACAAGAGGTGGTCGTACTTAAACTGTCTAAATTCTGGATTAATCGATGGGCCACGTCACTTTAATAGAACACTTCCTTTGAAACATGTCCAGGGATCTACACGAAAGAAGCTTTGCTAGAGAGTGTGGCAGCAGAAAGGGTAAGTTTATCAAAAATAGCTTCAGGGCCTTGTGTACCCCACAGATCGTTTCACAGGGCTTATCGAGGCATCATAATGTATCCACCTCGATGTTTCACTTTCAAAATGTAGTCCAGTTTCGTTTAGATTACTTCCGTTACGTTTGGGATTCTGAAAAAACTTTCGATCGATGCCAACATCTTGAAACTTTTAGACCTTTCAAAGTTTCTAGAACATTTTCAGCAGACTGACTGAGCGTAAGAAACGGATGGATAAACAATACAGTCATGAAGCAGATTATTACAATTGGTCTTAAATCTCTCGACTCTTAAGCTCTATTAGCTTCTAGCGACTTGCTCAATGAAAGTTATAATAACCCAAGCTTTCTGTCGCCATTAGCTCATGTGCTCGATATTAATTTATAGAAGTCATGTCCAGAGCTAAAAATATCGAACGAAAGAATAGTCTTTGCCACTCTAGTCTGAAGACATATCTTTATATTTCCGCCTTCAAGAAACCATACCGGAGACCCCCCGATTTTTCTGTGTATTGAAGATATCTACAAGTTTATGCTTTTCTTAGCTTTTCCCTTTGCTGTTAAACTCGTCAATAAACATAGCGTATGGTGCGCGTCGAAACTGAGCTGACACGGTTGATAATCCAGCCGCAGCCATTATATGACAGCGAGGGTGGATGACACGGGATATGAGACAACACGGCTCTCCTGCTTTTTGGGAACAACACATCAACAAGCAGCGCGTTTGTCAGAAAACTTGTGAAGAATTTGCAAAAACGAAAACCCAGGGGTCATATCGATTCTGAGTGTATATAGTAAAATAATGATGACTTAGAAGGCCGGTGAAAGCTAGTTACCGTACTTCAACATTGAAAATAATGACTACAGGCAATATGATTACGTGTTCTCATTTAAGTTTCATATTGAATGTCGCAGATATGAGAAAACTGCTGAGGCCTATGCCTGCGCTGTCGTCAGTTTCCACATTTGTTTTGCACATCAGAGTTGTGTTGATTAGCTAGATTATTCTTTTCACTATCGTTCTCTTTGAAATTCAATGACCAATATTGTTCATTCAGTTTGCTTCAAGAGAGAAACCTGATAATGTATAATCGGATATAATTGCTTGGTTCTAACAAACGACCTGGCAATAAATGATTTCCAGACTTTTTATTGCTTTAAGTATTTGCTTTTATGCACAAGGAGAAAGCCGTGTCTCTTGTAATTAAAGCAGCTATTACTCCCTTGTATCTAGTAAAGCGGAACTTTGAGATTTCATTTGCAAATGCGCTCAGTTAAGCAACTCAAATCGTCCACAATAGTAAATCTAGCCGTTGTGTTGACAAAACACCCTCGACAGCTAATGTGTTACATACCCTTCTTGAAGGCATTGGTTTTAACTCTTATAATAGTCATTCCGGTCATACTCCCATAATTGTCAGTTCGATGGTCTTGTAATCATGAACATAAACAAAACAAATGACGAAGCGAGTTGATGGTTGTGGTGTGACTCACGTTCATCTTTATTCTTGCCAACGTAGGTTAAGAACGGAATTTTCAAGACGTAAACAGTTTCTCGTGCACCAAGGTTGCTAAATGGCGTCTGGAGCACCTTCACCCCTGGCCAGCTCAAGAGAGAAGATAAATGGAAGCAAGCTGAGCAGACTCATCATCGATGGCGGAACAACGGTGCTGAGGAATATTTTCGATCGCTTTTACCCACCTGCCTACTTGGCTTCTGGTCTCAAAGCCAATTACTCAGTTCTTAACAACCTTTTGCGTAGAAGAGTACTTAATATCCACCAGTGGAACAAACTCTTCCCCCCTGGTGGAGGGGTGCCAGACTCCAACACGTTTGACATCACTCTTCTGTTCCTGCTGCTAACTACCATTTGCGGCTTATCCCCTCCCCTGACAGGATGGCACACCAAGCCGCCCACTGGTGACAACTCTCTTGAGGCTAACCTTGCTCGAGTTAAGTTCTTCCGGAATGAGCTATATGGTCACGTGACTTCCACTGGTGTAGATGCGACATCTTTCTCCTCCTTCTGGCAAGAAATAAGCATTACTCTTCATTCTCTTGGTTTAGATCAAGCAGAAATTGACAGACTGAAGGCAGAGCAGAGTGGAGAGCAAGATTACCTTGATGCCTTAATTGATTGGGCTGACAGTGAACAGGACATAAAAACATGGCTCACGAATATCCGTCACACGCAACTAGAGATTATTACGACACTTCAGGATGGCGCTTTAAATCTGGAAGAGCTACGTCACGCTCAGTACGCCCTAAGCAAAACTCAGGATGTTGCAGATGAAGCAGTGGACGTAGAACTCAAAAGACATCAACAATTGGGGGCAGCACACCAGGAAAGCGTGTCACATTTGCGGGGAGAATGTGGGTCCCAAACAAAAACCAGCCAAGCGGGAGATAAAATTCGTGAATCAACTCAAGAAGTAAAACCAGACGAGGTGCTTAAGACCCTTGTAAAGTCTGAATTCCAAGGAGACATCGAGCATCATGCAAAGAAATTCCAGGAAGGAACTCGTGATTGGATCTTCAAAAGCATCGAAGATTGGTTAGACGACCGGAGCTCGCCACATCGGGCGATGGTAATCAGTGGAAATCCAGGGATGGGAAAGACTGTTATCTCTGCTGTTGTTTCGCAAAGAATGAAAAAGGCTGGAATGTTGGCAGGGAGCCACTTTTGTCAGCATAACAATTCACGATACCGAGATCCACGTTTAATGCTCCAGTCTTTGGCTCGCCACTTGTGTCAAGCGATGCCGAATTACAAAGATGCTCTGGTGGAACAGCTGTCAAGAAATACTGTGGATGAAGACCTCAAAAAAATGAGTGTAGAAGAGCTGTTTGCGTTGCTGTTCAAAGAGCCTTTAAGCACGGTACAAGATCCTGGAAGAAACACCCTAATAATCATAGATGGCCTCGATGAAAGCGAGTATCAAGGACGCAATGAGCTTCTACAGGTAATCAGTAACCACTTCCCTATGCTTCCAGTTTGGATTAGAATTTTGATCACAACTCGTTCAGTGAGGAGCATAACAGAGGCATTGCGACATTTAGAGCCAATCGAGCTTAAACAAAAGTGCGAGGAAAACTTAAATGACATTCAAACCTTGTTTGAAAATCAACTCAGCAACAAAATTGGTGAAGAGCATAAAGATATTATCTTGAACGAGCTGGTTGAGAAATCAGAAGGCCTGTTTATTTACGCTTTCTTTATAGTGGATTATATCCAAAAGAATGTTTCATTTCTCACCCCTGATCAGCTACAACGCGTGTTACCTTCAGGTATTTCATCCTTTTACTTGTCCTATTTCAAACGATTAGAGAACGAACTTTGCAAAGAGCTTGATACAGATGAGGAATCTTTTTTGCGTTTCCTGTGTGCTTTGACCGCTTCAAGAGAACCATTACCAGTAGAATTCATTGCCAAAATTCTATACCCTGGAGAAAAATCTTTGACCGCGCAACGAAAAGTTAACAGAGCAATATCTTCCATCTCTACATTGTTACCAGTTCGCGAGGGTCGCCTTCACTTCTTTCACAAGTCAATTAAGGACTGGTTAAGAGCATCATTCCCCTATGAAAAACATGATTTCACAGTGGACGAGAAAGAAGGTCATAACGTCCTCTCTGATCTTTGCGCCCCTGAACTCGATAGCATCAAGCGAAAAGAGGCTCATGGCAAACAGTTCACGAACACTGAAAGATATGCTTTGATTCACACTTTCCAGCACATGCGTGAGGCTGATAGTGATCATCAACGGACTGACGGTTCAGGGACCATAAGTGGCACATTTAATCAGGTATACCAGTATGTGACGAACCTAGAACTTATTTATGCAAAACTCTGTGTAAATAGAACATCCGCTACGGAAGATCTCTTCCGTATTTGCAGTCAAAGTGCGGGTCTATTGAATGAGCAAAGAGATTCAGTTGCAACACTTCTCCATAATCTTCTAAGAAAACACACTTATATTTTGCTCGATCACCCTCATCTTTTTTTCCAGTGTTTGATTAACGAACGGATCCCTGAATTATCGCCTATGGCAGCGGGTTTTGTCGAATTATCTATTCCCACAATACCCTGCATGAAAGTCCTAGACTATACAGTAGAACCCCGCCTTACATCCACCTCGATAATACGGTCACCTCGTTATTACGGCCAGTTTTTTTTTTTGGCCCGGCAAAACGGCCATACATTTCCTTATAAAAGAAAACCGTTAATGCGGTCACCTCGTTATTACGGCCAGTTTTTTTGGCCCGGCATAACGGCCGTACATCTTCTTATAAAAACCTTAATGTGGTCACCCGTTAATTCGACCACATTTTAAAAATCCCAAACAGTAGAATCCCTTCTAATTTCACCCCGTTGATGCGGCCACTCGTTCGAAATTTAGAAAATTAAAATGCCTGTGACATGTCGATTTTATTGATGTAGTAATCTAAGCTTATTCTCTTCCTGCTTTTAGACTACAGTACACTTAAGGTGGCTCGATACAGTTTTCCAGGGCCAATACCTCCCAAGTTTGAGCATAAACTACGTCACCATAAACAAAGTTTTGAAAAAATTGCCACCACAGTTGTACTAGATAAAGATGAAAATTTGTTGTGATCAGGGTTGCAATGACATCGGAGTTGTCATAGCAACGAAATGACGCTATTACCTATTTTGCTTACAACAGTATATATCGGCACTGGGAAGTGTTCTTGCAAAATCATTCACGCAAGCTTTTTCCTCCAATAGAGGCCTCGATGTTCGTGAAGTTTAAGCGAAATCTGTAAGAGCGTTATCGAGATATTTTGGGATAAAGATTTTGTGGTTAGAAATACGGTAAAAAAAGGACAATCTCTATGTTCGGCTGTTAACTGCAGAAAAAGAAGCGCTTTTGACATGCATGCTCACCTCATAGTAGTTTCAATCGTCTTAAAAACGTGTGTGAAAGATCATGGAGATAGCTCCAGCCGATTGCTAGAAAGAAAGATTTGATTAGTATGTATCCAGGCGCTCTTGTTAGCGGTTTTTGAATATTTTGGACTACTTTAACAAACTAGCAAATAGTTTTTAAACCGCTCGATAGATTTTTTTAAAAATTTAACATTCTTGGGATTAACCTTCCTTTTATATGACCTTTTAGTTTCAAGACACCGTTTCTGATGATGGGTCACTAATTGCTTTTTCTAATCCTGAAGTAGATCACTAGGGTACAATTACTGTTTTTGACTCAAAACGTCAGTCTCGTTTGTATGTTATACTCCCCAACCCCTTGGGTTTTTTCGTGTGTGAATTGTTACGCTTCACATCGGATAACAACACTCCTGTTCCTGTTTGTGGCTTTCTACACAAAAAATGCGCAGATGAAGATTCTTGCTACTTTTTCGACTTCACATACTCATATGTCACTACCGGAAAACCTGAATTTACCTTCATTACGCCTTTAAATGCTTCTCACCTTTATAACTCTCATATCATTAACATTAGCTTTGTTACTCCATGACCATGTCCCCTGTCAGAAGAACATAACTCTTACATAATATGTATTTGATATATATTTTTTACCTTTTCACCTTCATCAAAATCGCAGAGTTTAGTGCTTCATACAAAATGTTTCCCGGAAGTTCTCGGCAACTTTTACGTTCCAGTGAATTCTCATGAATTCTAAGTGATTTATTTTCAGGACTTGTGGGAACTTGCACGACCGCCTGAAAAGTTGAAATGGGCTGCTCTCGATAATAGTTTTAATCTTGTGGAGATAGGTCTCGCCTCGTAAAGGTGCGGTTGTTACGGTATATTATTTTGATTAAATACCATTATTAGCTTACGTGGAAGTCGATTTCTTCTAATTTTCTCTCTCCGTCTTTAGGAAATTGCTACTGATGGACGGTCAGCCTCTTTCGCGGGACGCCCTTTAAGAGTAACACTCGTCGGAGATGAATGGGGATCATCGAAAGGCGGATTGTCTACGCTGAATAGGGAATTAGCAAAACATCTTGCACGTCAGCCTGGGGTAGAAGTAACTATTCTACTGCCACATTACAGTGAAAGAGAGAAGAAAGAAGCTAATGACTGTAGAGTAAGCCTTGCCACACCAGAGCCAATGAATGGGTTTGATTCCATCCGGGCATTGAGCTTTACTAGAGAAGATCATGGTATTGATGTTGTTATAGGCCATGGTCAAAAGCTTGGAGCACCAGCTCAGATCATAGCAAAACAACGCAAGTGCAGAAGAGTTCATATGGTACACACTGCCAGTGAAGAGCTTGCAATGTTTAAGGAAGGCGAAACAGCGCTACCTGAAGGCGAGGAAAATCACCGAACTGAGATGCATTTGTGTAAGGAAGCTGATGTCGTCCTTGCCATTGGACCAAAGCTAAAGGAAGCTGTCTCAGCAAATCTTCGGTGCTACGGTAGAGATGAACATGTGATAGATATCACACCTGGAATTTTTTCGGAGTTCGCAAACTTGGAACAAGTCAGTCAGGAAAGAGAACAATTCCGCATCTTAGTGTTTGGTTGTGGTAACGTGGAAGATTTTGAACTAAAAGGATACGATATAGCTGCTGAAGCTGTAGCAAGCTTAAAAGACGAAAACTACCTTCTTCAATTTGTCGGGGCACCAAAAGGTAACGAAGAACAAGTTATAAACAGGTTACTGAAGTGTGGCATTCCTCTCACACAGTTAACTGTTCGAAGATTTGCTGAGAGTCGCAACGAAATAAAAAAACTTTTGTGGAAGGTCGATCTTGCCATTATGCCGTCACGAACGGAAGGCTTTGGCCTCACCGCTCTCGAAGCACTCTCCGCTGGCCTTCCTATTTTGGTAAGTAACAATTCGGGATTCGGTCAAGCTATCCGCAAAGTAGAATTCGGATCTGCGAGTGTGGTGTGTTCCGATGATCCTAGAGAGTGGGGAAAAGCTATCAGACATGTGAGACAGAAACTAAGGAAACTCCGGCTAAAGGAAGCTTGTTCTCTTCGAAAGTCATATGACAAAGAATATAAGTGGGAGACACAGTGTGAAAAGCTTGTAGATAGAATGCGACAAATCCTCAAATAAGCTTTGAGTAGACACTCAAGGTTGTTACATGATCGTAAATATTAACATCTACGCTAAAACTAACGCTAACGGATAGCCGTTCAACAGGTGCTCAAACACGCGGCTTTCGAACGGGTGAACCAAGCCGTTTAAACGGGTGTATCTGAACGGATGAACAATTTGCTAGGTATAAAAATTAATTACAGTTTGCCTTTTACGCTTTTGTTCTTCGTTGTCTTTTCCTTTTGAAAGACAAGTAAGAGTCTTGAACTTTCCTTTATCGGAGTGGGCGTGGCCATAACTATGGTCAAATCTTGTTGTTTCTAAGGCCCCTCTTTTAAGTTCCCTCTGTAATCGTGTTAGTCCTCTACTCAAATCCTTAGTTAACCTATGTACTGTTTAGCTGATCAGTGTTTTGTCATCTGTTTCGAAAAATATATATAATTCTATTTATTTTTCGTAAAATTATATCAAAGATATATCAAGAGTAAGGAAATAATAGAGCACTGACACCTCTTATCTTACGGAGTGTATCCTTTCAATTCTTTTTCTTTAGAATAACTTAGCTTCGTAGCCTTTAAAAGGCTAAGCAAAGCAAATTTTTTCAACAAGGTGTGAATGTCAGATTTTTGCAGTGTTATATTCTTTTGTTTGGATGGACATGTTTTATTTCTTTATAATTTGGAGGCCTTTTAGAATGATCTTTCAGTTGACGTCCTAAGGTGTCACATCATGATATAAAACCAAGTTCTGCTGCCAAATTTCCGACGTCATTTTCCCGGCAATAGTGTCAAGATATGAGAAACTAAACACGTGATTTTTTGAAAAATGGACCCTCTAGTCCACTGTTGAAAATTTCAGAGTTACAGTATTGAAGCTTAAAAAGATCTTAGTTTGAATTTCTCACAAATTTGGCGCTTAAGCTCTCTAACCCGAACCAAGAGAGAGCTGACCCTCAGGGGGATTGCGTATAGAATAGGGTCTATGTGGGCATTTGCTGTCTTTCTCTTCATCCTCTGTTGGTTAAATAAATTTTATGATATGGCCTTCACCAGGCTTTAAGGTTTATTAGACCAGAGTTCCTACCGTGACCTGTTGCTTCTATATTTTATAAATCATTTCTACATTCAGTCTAAATAAACCATCTTGGGACTGGACTACACCATTACATTATGGTTCCTTATCTTTGCTATATAATTTCAAAGCGTAATGTTACCGATGTCAGTACTAGCCTGCAAGGGCATCCGTTTTTTGGCTCTAGTTTCGGAAGAGAAGCGACGACCGCAAATACGTCTGCGGTTTGCAGGCTACGTCAGTACTGTCGTTTGCTGTTTCAGGCATCTGGTGGTTTGGTTCCTAGTGTTCTATACTCTTATGATCGATTAGTTTTTCAATTTTCTTGTTTAGTCACGCGTGTATATTTAACAGTTAAAGAATGAGGATAAGTATCTTGTGAAGAATTTTGGAGATCGAGGAGGGTGTTATCCCTCCGAGATCTCCATAATTCTTCATATGATACGAAAGCCGAATTCAGTAATTGTTTTATTATTCATTCAAACTAATTTCAAGTTTAAAAATGTAGCTACAACATGCTTACCTCTATCGATGTTAAGTTCATCTTCGATAGCTCATGTTTAGGATTGTTCATATACCCTGCTCGTTATTCCCTAATTCAATCTTTTTAAGTCCGGGCTATAAGCATTTCTGGATATCGGTTTCGTGCCTTGTGAGTGGGTGTGGTCAAAACCAAAACAAAACCAACTTGACTAAAGAGATACTGGAAATAAGTAGAAGTTGGACAAGTGTTTTGATGGCAGCCACTTGCGGCAATCGGCCGAAACAAAATTCAGTAATAAACAATGCGCAGAAAGATTATAAGCATAGAAAAATACTTTATTTATTTGAAACATTCAGCATGATACAACTCAAATGTCTTGTCATTCCCGCAGGTGAAGAGTGAAGTGGATTCTTTCCAGTTCATTTTTCATCATTTGAACGTTTTCACGTCGTCGTCCTCTACCCGCGGAGCTAAAGAACATGCTTTTCGAATGCTTTAACTGCATCGGACCAAAGATTAAAACCTAGAAACAGAGACCCCAGGAAATAAAACAGGAAAGGTCAGCTTCATATGCATGACCTTTTAACGTGAAACCAGCGGCAAAAATAAGATTTGCCCCACGACCTCCACAGCATAATCTACTCGGCTGCTACAAAGAAAAGAATCTGAACAAATGACATTTTACATTATGAGGTAAAAGTCGTTCAGTCCTACAGATCCCGCCGTTTTTTATCATGTCAATTCGGGTCAGGAAATCACTATCCGTAAAAATTCAATATCCTGAAATCAACACGCAACAAAGCATAGCAGCAAATCGGTAGAGGGCAATTCCTGACAGAAACAAACAACCTCGTCCCCAGGGCTTTTCCCTCAAAAAATGGGTAAAAAAAAGGGGACGAGGTTGAAAAACAAAAGGCACCTTCAGGAAATGGCCTCCCTGAATGTGAGGCAAACAGCAATGATAATACTTGCGCAGTTTAAGTTTGAAATCCTCCACAGTTTTTTACCCACTAGGAAAAAAATAATCAGAACATGACATGGCACTACTCCGCTCGGCATCCTTCCTTCAATCAGATTTTATCCACGAAGACGACAAAATGAAACGAGATTTTGAATAAGTAAGCCTGTTCCAGGCGTTCAGGTGGTGGGGAGTGAGTTAGATCACAGGTGCTTTGTGAGCCAAGCGAGCCGAACGCGGCATTTTGCACGAAGCGCGAAACGAGTGGAGGAGAAAAATAAAGCTCTTACCACGGCCAGTCCATTGTTCTGGCTCTTCCGCCCACCTACCCCGACAAGTACAACCTCGTTCGCAGGTTCTCTCTCCCCTGGGAACGAGGTTGCCACGAGTATTGACTGACGGCGGTGATGTCAAAAGGACCAATCAAAACACGATCCATTGCTTAAAAATTGTCACCTTTCTGGCTACCTGAAACACCAACCACAGCATAAAACATCCTAAATAACTGCGAACACCTTCAATAATGCAAGACTCAGTGCGGCAAAAGTAAGATTTGCTCAGTCAAAGTTTAGTGATGTCCAAACACAGCGGCGAGAGAGAAAAGAGAGAAAACGTGTTGTTCAAACAAATTCCAAGGTCAGGTGCCTATTAGTCATGTTTGTGCCTGTCAACACTTAGCTTAAAAAGGTTGGTAAATGAGGCTTTATCCTAAACTAGTTGGAAGCAACCCCGGGGGGGAACTTCGCATATGAAAGGGGTGGGGATGCTAGTCGGAAATTTGAATTAAACCCTTAAAGGAGACCGATCTGGGCGTGGCCCAAGCTTTTTTTGACCCCTAAAAGAGACCATGTTAAAACACAGACAAAGGAGAAAACTTGGATTATATGAATGGAGTAAATAAAAGGCATTAAACATATACATATCAGATTTTTTTTTTATATTTTTTCGCGTGCAACCCTAAAGGAGACCTTCACGGCTAAATATGATGGCGTTTTGCCCAGAACACCCCAAGTGAGACCAAAATCCGAAATTTACACCCCTAAGCGAGACGACGAGCATCCCCACCCCTTTCATGTGTGGAGTCCCCCCCGAAGAAGCAATCCAAGAACATCTTTAAACATTTCTTTTGTTTTTCTTTTATTTCTGAAACTAGACGAAAGTCTTCTCGAACTGCATCGTCAAAAGAACATGAATGCGCGACGGTTATTTTGTTCCAGACAAACATGCCAAAACAGCGCGTCATCAATCAACCAAATGGAACGCAACGTTCATGTAGTGAACGTGGAAGGAGCCAGAACAACGGACAGGTAACAGGCGCATTATTTTTCTCCTCCCCTCGTCTCGCGCTTCGCGCAAAATGCCGCGTCCGCCTCGCTTGGCTCGGAAAGCGCGTGTTATGCAGGCTAATAAGCAGACTCTCAACGTCCGAGCACTCGAACTTACATTTTGGGCCCTCGACAGGAATTTTAACAAATCGGAAGCAAATTTATGCTAGTTTTTGAAAACATTTTTTGTAGGAACCAAAAAAAATGAATGCTACATACCTGAAAACGTCGAATCAGCTACTCCTGAATCGGCTTCCTCTCAGAAAGACCGTTTGCTCGACTTATCCCCAGAATTTCTCTCTCCAATCACAACAGAAGCTATCTCCTATTCACCTGTTGTATTTAGTCACTCTTTGCCTTAAATTTGGCAAGGTTTCACGGAACTACTGAGGACTGAATCCGCTAAGGCTCAAATAAGAAAAGTAAATGAGTTTCTTCGAAGTCATTATCAATGAAGCCATTATCGATGACGTCATCGAGTATTCAGAAATGGTTATTAGCATGTGCCGTTGAATAGAGTTTGATTTACTGGGTGCCTTAAGTCCTCAAATAATTCATTATCCCCTTCTCTGACCAAATAGAATTAAGGTATGGGACGAGATCCCTGTCGAGGAACAAGACAAAGGACTCCAGGTTCTAATTATGTCCGAGAAAGGGAGGGAGGGAGGGAGGGAGGGAGGGCTGACCCTTTTCATTGACACTCTTCATTGGGAACTGACAACTTTGCATATGTTATTCAGGTTTATTTGTTATGTAGTAACTTTGCAAACAAAAATATGAGAGTGCTCACAGTCTAATATATGGAGAATTTTATAATTAAACCTATTCTAAGAAAGGAACCCGACAGTATCATTATTGACAGTCATGTACCTTTGAAACAGTCAAAGGATTAATTAATTAATATACAGCTGTTTCGAGAAAGGTTGTCGGAAAAACGTGCACGCGGCAACCCCGAAAGGTAATATGGGATAGGATCAATACACTGTTCCTCACGACTGTAGCTGTCGAACCTACTTTTGTTGCTTTCCATTAGCACTCGCCAACATATGTCCGTGGCCTCTCGTGCCATTCTTTCAAATTTCTTTGGAGAACAGGGCAGACAAAACCACCCACAATACCCTTCGGGATTGTCGCGTGCACTTTTTCCGACAACCTTTCTCGAAACAGCTGTATATAGCAAAAGCTCTCCCTGGATTATTTAACAAACTGCCCGTGCGTGAAATATAAAAACGAAACTTTAGAATAAAAATAAATCAGGTTCCACAAGCAATTCCTTGATATGCAAACAGTTCAAAGGTAGCGAAACAAGACTAACTACCCTATAAACGAAGCCAAAATTTAATGAAAGACCGCAAACAAAGGTGATCCTTGTAAAACTTGGCGTTTAAAAAGACTTGAACAATCTCCGCAAAATAAGGTATAAATCAACTACAGTGTTCCAGGCCGAAAACAGGAAACCAATTTTTGCCCGACGATATTACTGAAGCATTTTTTTTAATATAGCCATTTCACACAATTGGCCAACTTCTGGCTCGCTAAATTGCCAGCGGTCGACACTAGAGTATTTTCTTTCCAACGGATCACTGTTCCAAAAAGTCATCCAGTTACCTACTAATCGCGGAGTAGTCAATCGATAAAAATCGGTAACGATAAAAATCGGTAGCAATCAAGTCGGTGATTTTTATCGATTGATAACGAAAATCGGTGAAAATCGATAAACTAAATTGCTGTGTCAAATCGATATTATCGATTTTTCATGTTTTTAACGATTTATAACGGAAGCCCGCCAATGTTGTTTTTGGCATAAGTTAGATAGTACAGTTGAGAAAACACGTCCACGAGTAACAACTGATCAACAAACATGAAAATGAGAAATATGGAAACTATTACAAACACAAGTTTCTCTCTAAAACTCTTCGTTTTGTACATGTTTTGCGTCTATTTGGACCAGCTCAATATGTCAAATATAGGCGACTTATCATGGAGTTGAATTCTTAAGGATTTTATTCAGGTTCAAAAAGAGGAACGAAAATTCGTCGTCGTTATGTTCATGTTCTCCATAAAACAGTCAATTAGGAGGTTTCACGTCGTAGTCGTGCAGTTGACGTCAAGGAAATGTACTAAAAAGCGTGATGCACGTGCAGAGCTGTTGTTTTGATCATTAATTAAACCTATTGTTTTTTGAAGTCGTCGTTGTGGTCGTCGTCGTCGTCGTAGTTGTTTAAGCTCCCTAATGTCGACAATCAACGACATCTTAGCAGCTGTATCTCTTCTAACAGCCTTGTCGCCAGGCCCTTTTCCCATGACATTTGCGAAG